GTGGTGCTGGAGAAACTGTTCAGTTTACATGTAAAAGAGCAAAATTAGAACATTTTTCCACATCATATACAAAATAAACTCAAAAGTGATTAAAGGTGTGAATATAAGCCCCCAAACCATAAAATTCCTAGAAGAGATCATAGGCAGAACACTTTTTGACGTAAATCTTAACAATATTGTTTTGGATCTGTCTCCTAAGGCAAAGAAAACAAAGGCAAAAATAAACAAGTGGGACCTAACTAAACTTAAAACCTTTCGTCGCAAAGGAAATCATCAACAAAAGAAAAAGACATCCTAGTGAATGGGAGAAGATATTTGTAAATGACGTCTGATAAGAGGTTAGTATCCAAAATATATAAAGAACTCATACAACTCAATATAAAAAAACCCAAAAACTTGATTTAAAAATGGGCAAAAAACCTCAATGGACATTTTCAAAAGAACACAAACAGGTGGCCAATAGGCAGGTGAAAAGATGCTCAGCATCGCTAATCATCAGGGAAATGCAAATCAAAACCACAATGAGATATCACCTCACACTCATCAGAATGACTATCATTAAAAATACCACAAGTAACATATGGTGGTGAGGATGTAGAGAAAAGGTACACAGTCGGTGAGAATATCCAAAGAAAACAAAACAGTAATTCAAAAAGATACATGCATTTCTCTGATAATTAGTGATATTGAGCATTTTTTCATGTACCTGTTGGCCATTTGTATGTCTTCGTTGGAGAATTTCTTGTTTAGGTCTTCTGCCCATTTTGGGATTGGGTTGTTTGTTTGTTTGTTTGTTTGTTTTGTTATTAAGTTGTAGGAGATGTTTGTATATTCTGGAAATCAAACCTTTGTCAGTTGCATCATTTGCAAATATTTTCTCCCATCCTGTAAGTTGTCTTTTGGTTTTACTTATGGTTTCCTTTGCTGTGCAAAAGCTTATGAGTTTAATTAGGTCCTATTTGTTTATTTTTCCTTGTATTTCTATTGCCTGGGTAGACGGCCCTAGGAGAACATTGCTCAGATTTATGTCAGAAAATGTTTCGCCTATGTTATTTTCTAGGAGGTTTATTGTGTCTTATCAGCCAGTTTG